GAGGAGAGGAGAGAAGACGAGACGAGACGTCTTTTACTGGGCTACCTGTGGTACATATCCAGAGTGGCCCAAACTCAGCAGTGATTGTATCCCCCAGAATACAGCAACTGGTGTTTTGCCGGTGATTGTGATCCTCTCCAGCAAGACTTCTACGTTTAGGCTGTACGCCTCGTTACTGGACGATGGTTTTCCTGCGATCTGGACGTCACCAAGCTTGAGGTGGATCTGACGGAATGTGTTGATGTTGTAATTGATGTTTAGGCCCAGCGCCGCTGAAAATGAGAAAAGAAAAACAAGCCGATCAATATTCGCCACATTCAATGTTTTTTCTATGGTCTCATTTGTCATTCCCTTGAGTATTACTTCTTTGTTTACCAGTAACACTTGAAAAGTTAAATGAATATGGATTTGACTCAAACAAGGGATTGCCAAGTTTCAATTGTGATAAAAGTTTTTGAATCTCATTCTTTGCTCCAAATAAGTGGACGAACACTGACCACCATGTGCTGTCAGCCAGAAAGAATTTTCAGTTATTGAAAGCTTCTAATTCAGCTGATGATTATGAGATAGGAACATGACGTGAAGTGAAACACGTACAGCAATACTTATCTTTAAAGGGGCACTTGGCTGAAAACGCCCCGATTTTTGAAAGTCCGAATAATTGAAGTATTTGAGGATAATATGACTCAATTATAATTATGAAAATCTGATTAGTGAAAATTTTAGCCTGGGAGCTACTTGCTGTTGAGATATTTTGGGTTAAAAGCGAAAAGAACAATAGAGTTGAGTAAATGACGTCACTTACTCACAATTTAGATGCTGAATAAAATTGAGAACTTTTCCCCGCAACTTTTGACTGTGAAGGAAACATGTTGCTTGGCTACTATCTGGGCCATATAGATAAGTTTAACCAAGTTTCAAGTCATTTCCAATTTTTATTGATTTTCATCCAAGTGCCCCTTTAATTTAACTTTAGTTTTGCCATGGCAACGAGGTATTCCTTATACAGTATCGTGAGAAATAACCATTAGAAATACTTTCAATGTATATTTATAACTCACTAGCCAAGAATTTCTTCTCTCGACTGAGGCCACTTTCAGCAACCAAACTCCAGTCCCCTGTCATTAAGTTCAGTCTTTGACTATCCTCGAACCCAGTCACCTCGGATGGACTCGGTATAACTGGCAGGCCAGGTCGCTTCATGTCCTTGATGTCATTAATCGTAAATCTCACTTGAGGAGAATAGGGATTATACTTATCAGCATCGTAGCGCTTCCACTGTTTAGGGGTAGTGAAGTCCCCAACAAAATCTAGGCTTTCACCGGAAGTGCTTGTAATCGTACGAGCCTGCAGTCCGTCAGCGGCTACATAGAAGTTCGGCATGACGTCAGTCTTAGCGACCGCCCAGAACTCCGACTTGAAACGAATCTTTCTGACTTCACCTGCTACCAAGGCTCTAAACTCGGGCGTCGGCTCGAGCTTATGTTGACAGCCGTTGATGTGGGTGATCTATCAGGCAATGATACAAATATTTTATGACAACTGCAATAATAATTATACGTTGAGGTGGTCCCTTTACCGCGGGCTTGTTGTAGAACATCACGGGCTCAAGCAGATTCCACTTCCGGTCATCATCATCATCATCATCATTCTTATCATTGTTGTTGTTATTATCATTATCATCATCAATCATCATCATCGTCATTAGTGTTTTTTTAAATATATATATTTAGTATAATTTTAGACTTGAATATAGAGTTGCTCGCGATGTGATTGGTCGAGAGACCGGTGATTCAGTCTAAGACGATAATCACTGTTCAAGCAGTGATTTTGACGTTTTCCAAAGTTTCCCAGAGAGCAAATAATACTAAAACGTTTTTTATCCTGAATTTCGACTTCTCTCTGATATTCAAGTCTAGAATTGTACTAAAACAATTATTCCCCTCAGGCTCAGTGATTAAGGTGAATATTTACTACCTCACCGCTCAAAGACTTGCGGCTCGGTAAATATTTCGCCCCTTCTGCGAACAATTCTTTAATATTGTAAATCTACTAAAATCGAAAGCTTTTCGACAAAATTTGAAGATTTCATTTTCAAAATACGATGACCAGCCAATCAGTGCACTCGTTTTATCTCAAATATTAACCAATCCCTAGTGTTAATGTAATTACCTTTAGCGCGTAGCCTGGTAGTACATAACCATTAGGGTTATGTTTCGTGTGTTCAGGTTCAATCACGCGAATATGACAGAAATATATCGCCCAGTTTCCCAAGCTAATGGCTTGTGAACCTTCGTTGGTCAAGGTCAGCTCTATCAAGTAGGTTTTCCAGGTGTCTTGCATGTTGTCTAGTATGTCATAGCGTAACCCGAGATTCCCTGCGATGTAGTCGAGTGTTGATTGGCTGACCTGGGCGTTCAGAACTGAAGGAAAGAAGAATTTAACCTTAGTTTACATTAAGAAAGGGTGGTTTGTAATTATTCATAAGATAATGAAATAACGAAAGACATGGCCGCGCGTTCGTTCCTTTTTTTATCCATTCCTTTATTTGTTCGTTCGTTCTTTACTTCGGTTTCTTCCATCGTTCCTTCGTTTCTTGCACTGCTTGCTGCACTCGTTCCTTTAATCGTTCGATCCTTCATTCATTCGATCGATCGCTCGTTCCTTCATTCGTTCTTGCTTCTTTTCTTCGTTCCATCGTTCCTTTCACTGCTTGCTTCCTTCGTTCGTTCGTTCGTTCAGTTCTTCAATCATTCGATCCTTCATTCGTTCAATCGATCGGTCGTTCGTTCATTCGTTCGTTCGTTCATTCCTTCAATCATTCGATCCTAATTCGTTCAATCAATCGTTCGTTCGTTCGTTCGTTCGTTCGTTCGTTCGTTCGTTTCTTCAATCATTCGATCCTTCGTTCGTTCGATCGATCGGTCGTTCGTTCATTCGCTCGCTTGTTCCTTAAACCATTTGTTCCTTCCTTTATTCGTTCCTTCATTATTTCGTTCGTTTCGTTCCTCTATTGATTTTTTATTTTCGTTTGTTCGTTCATATATTCGTTCGGTTGCATGTTCATTCGTTCGTTAATTACTTCCTTCATTCGTTCGCTAATCGATCGATTCTTCGTTCGTTCGATCGATTATTTTTCGTTCGTTCCTTCGTTTGTTCGATCGATTGTTCGCTCGTTCCATCGTTCGTTCTTCTTTCGCTCCTACCTCGTCCTTCGTTCGTTCGTTCGTTCGTTCGTTTTGTTTGTTCGTTTTCATTTCCGTTTTCATTCATAAACCTCTCTATCATATCCCCACAACATTTTTTCGTTCTCATTATAAAGCGCAATCGGATTAGACGACCGATAAAGTTGATTTAAAAAACGTCTGTATATATGACAAACTAGATACCAGCTGTTCCTCAGTAAGAAGGGAAAGTTTTTCTTTGCGTAATTCATCTGTTTTTTTCTTCTTCTTTTTTATTCAAGGGTGCAAACTTTTTTTTCAAACAATTTTGGACTCGCACACATATGCAAGACGTGCACGTGATACCAGGAAAAATGGTGTTCAAACGCATAAACACCGTTAAGATATCTTTTACTTGCACCTTTTCATTTCACAGCATTTTCTTATTCTGATCTTTAAAATCCATGAATTTTATCGCATCGCGCTATGAAAATCGAGGTCTCTAAATATAGAGTTCGTCCAAAAAAATTTTTTTTGAATATCGTTCAATTTCTGTTTCTCTTATTATGGTTTCTTGACCAAAACGTTCTCCTACTCCAATTTTTAAGGCCCCGTCCACACGTATCCGCAAATTTTTGTATCCGCATTTTTTTTTTACGGATACGGGTTGCGTCCACACGTGTGCGCAAATTTTTGTGTCCTTTTCCTCAAATTTTACGAAAACGGATACGTGTGGACGGTGAAAACGATTCGAATACGCTACGTGTGGACGCAAACATTTTCGTATCCGCAAAAAAAATAATTTGCGGATATAAAAATTTTCGGATACGTGTGGACGGGGCCTAAAAGTTCAGTCAAACATCTTAGTGTTTCAAAGATGTTTTCTCTAAGCAAGGTGGAAAAGCGTTGTTATTAGAATATGATGGTATATAGTTCCGTATATAGTATATTATATAGTATGTACTAGACGACTTGTTTTGTTTTCATATTTCGGGTGTTACCGGTAAAAATGGACTGGTAAACTTCTTTAAACTATAAACTTCTTTAAACTATAAACTCCTTTGAAACTAGCTTCTTGATCAGTTAAGGTGTATAACTATCGTGAATTTGTATATTTGTGGCCCTTTTAAAATTTAGCTTTATCTTTATATCTTAAGTTTTTAAAACAAAATTGTACGAATGACGTTTTGTTGCAATCCCGTTTTGCATTTTTGTTCGTTTTAAATTTAAAAATTTCGAAGCCATGAAAATAATTTTGATTAGAAAATAAATTTTAAACCAATTTTTATATATTTAAAATCCTTAAATTGGTAAAATTAAATTTGAAAGATTAAAGTAAGGTTCCTTTTTAAAAGGTTTTTCTTCTTACCTGGTAAGCAAACTCCTAGAATTAGGAATATCAACATAACTGAAGCCATTATCCTTGAAGTAGTTAAAAATCTTACACAGAATATTCAGCTAACAGTTCCTTCCCTCACTCTTGACCGCCTCTCAGAGTCAGCCCAAGAGTCGATGGATAGTACATACGAAAGATACTCCACCATTGGTTGTCTTTGGTCCAGAACCCAGGTGTGAGTAGCGGAGTTGTACAGCTGAATAAAATGTTAGTACACTTGGACATCTGTGGTTCAAGAGAGCCGTGGAGAGAGACAATACCGAGGCGTTGTCAGTAACTTTCTCGACAGCTGGGGGAAATATTTTGATAACGATACAAATGTATTCTATAGAACTGAAGTAAATTTACAACGGTCTTACAGTACAACAGTACGATCACTGTAGACAAGTACGGAGGCTACAAGAAGAGAGAGAAAATGAAATAAGGAAAGGATAGGAAAGGAAAGGAAAGGAAAGGAAAAGAAAGGAAAGGAAAGGAAAAAGATCGAGTCAAGAA